GATGGGCGTAGCCAGCGATGTCGCCTGCCATGCAGGCGGCGACAGATAGTTCGAGGCCTTGCTCGCTGCGGATGTTCGCTGTGAGGGCGTCACGAGAGCAGGGGGTAGGAGTGTCGCGGTGCAACCCGCTCTCCATCTAGCGACAACTTTTGGTAGGAAACGGGCTGGCGCCGCATCAAACCTGGCCCCCTGATGCGGACCAGCGCGCGGTGAAGTAGATATTACGATGTTCTAATGTCAACTCTTTCACTCTGAACAGGAAAGATCGTAAGTTAAAGATGTGAGCTGTCTTGTCGCGGGACTCTTAGCAGAACTGCTGCACACATTCCAGCACAGTGAGTCGCGTGCGGCGGAGTGGCCGACTCTGTTTGTCTTGACCGCCTCTCCCCTCCCCCCCCCATTTAGTACTACTACACTTTCAGAATGATACAGAACCCTTCTAATAAGCAGAGGGACTCCTCTTCGAGCGACGCAAGTAAGACTCCCGTTGGAGAATGCACAATTACTTATCACTCACGCTCTGCAGTTTCTTCCATTCCTCGCGATCATTTGCAGCCTTTTGTTTTCTCGTTTCTAGATCTTTCTTCAAGTGCCTCCACTCGTTCCTGTGTATGCGACACTTCGAGCACGTCCATTGTCATCTGATGCTCCTCCACTTTTTGTAGCGCTTTATCCAGATCTTCTAACATTCTCTGTAAAGAGGAACTTCAATATTCTTCTAGCAACACTCATGGCAACGAAAATTATAAAATCTGTGCAGTGAAAAAAAGCAGAAAGAAGGCACAAAAATAAGAGAACAGTGAGGTTCGTAGAAATATTGCCAAATGAAAAGAAAACTGTGGATCCAAGTATCTCCCAGACGATTGAAAATAGGTATACTCTTCAAATCTCCCTCTCTTTTGAATAAAGAGTCAGGCAATTCCAAGATTGTCAGCTAGGCGTCGGTCGGCCATACCTCGCTCTTCGCTATAGATTTGGGAATATAAAGGAGGAGGTGCACCCATGAAAAAAGTAGCGTAGTGCGACCCGTCTTCGATGGAGAAGGATAGCGTGTTTTCGAGCGCCTGAAGGCAGAAAAAGAAATAGTCCGCACATAACTCAAAACAAACTCAGAATTGAGGGCAGATGAGCCCTCGAGAACGTCCATGCTATAGTATCGCGCCGGAGGCAGCGTCTGTTGTCAGGACTGGAATATGTTTTGATCAATGACCAGTTTGAAGGGTAATATATTAAGCTAGCCCATCTGGTCCAGGCTCAATAGGCTTCACAGATGATCTATGTCCAGAGGCGAAGTGCCTCAAAAAATCATGTATTAAACCACATTCGTATTGATCGAAACATGATTCAGGACCTCGAAGCGCATACTAACAGAAATTTGTATGAATCGATGAAAAAAAACGCAAGACCGGTGGGAGAAAACCAATGCGCTTTGGGGCTTCTAAATGAATATAGGGGTCTCTCATCGTTGCCTTCCAGAAAACAAAGCGTCAGGAGCGGGGACCGAGAAAATTGGTGGCTGTTCGAAGCGCTGAGAGGGCTATTTAGCACTTTGGTTAGTCCTTTTTCTCCAATATTTGTGGTATAACTTTGGTGAGACTTGTGATAACCGTGAAGCCAATACATATTGGTGTGGCAGGACTAGTTTTGCAGAGCATCATTTGGTGCCCCCACCGAGCCGAACTGCGCTCAAAAATCTTTTTTTGCTATGGCGAAATCCTGTTCAAGAAATGAGAGGCGTAGGGCAGCTAAGCGGGTCGCATTGTAAGTTCCTTGTGCAAAACTGGCACAATACTGCAGGCGAAGATTTTTGTCTAAGCTTAGTAGGAAGAGAGGATGGATGAGCCATCCCACTTGGGCAAAAAAAAGGGGAAGGGGTGCACCACGGTAACTCGAGTCCGAGTACTGCAAAAGGAGTCCTTCCAATGGCCTGTTAACCAATACGTCCCAAAACAATCCAGAATGTGCCTCGGGAGGGACTACGCAACAGCGACGTTCAGCCATGTCATACAGTCAAGGGGAAGGTTGCAGTGAGAGGGTGGCATTTTCTGAAGTTGACTAAGCCACGTTGAAACGTGTCACGCTGTCTCGGTGAGAGAGCGCAGACAAGCAGACATGACGTGATCTGTTCAGAAACGTAGCGCTAAAATCCAAAATTCCAAGAGAGGAAAAATGCGAAATTATCCGTGTTGCTTAATCCTATGCAACTGGAGCTAATAAATCTGGTGGAAGCAAGCAAAAAACTTTTGGACGGTCAAAAGTCCTGGCCTGGAAAAAGGCCAAAAGTCACGCGGCCAGAAATGAATGAATAAAGGGGCGTAAATGAAGGTGGTTGAGGCGAACATAGCGACAGACCACGAAGATGTTTTTATAGACATTGTGATGGAATGACAACATTCGGCTCTCGTTTTTCAGCGATAACGTTCAGCGAAGATACGAGTGCAGGCGCTAAAAACGTCACCGCACGGCCGCTCACATTGAAACCCTTTTATTTACACTTGTCAGCTACTCTCTGGAGATTATTGCTGCTACAACTAATTGGCTCCGTTTCAATTAGTAATTAATTCATTAGCAGCGGTGTAATGAAGGCTCACTCCACGGTACTCGTGTGGGCGAAGTCATGTGCCGTCTTGCACCTTCTCCTTCCAGGACGGCAAGGAGAAGGGTGAACCAATGAAGAAGCACAGCCTTCTGTCCGTCTGGCCCAAATTGGAAATCGCTCTCCAATATCACAATAAAGCTATTTCAACAAATTTGAAAGTCTGCCGCACCCCATATCTCTCCTCGAAGTCCTCGATTCCCTCCATGGGATACCGCTCATCAGCCGCCAACGCCTCCTCGATATTGTCCAAACTGTTGTATACCTGTAGATGTGTTAATAGCCCATTGATTACGATAATTATACAGTAAAGGGGGAAATACCTGTTCCATTTCATCCACTGATGGTGGCAAGGGCTTAGGCGGTGGTTCAGCAGCACTGCTAAGATCCTCTTCGACGCTCATAGTGACCGTAGTTGGCCGTGCAAAGGCGACCGTTATCGTTGGCTCATCGATTGCAGTCTCCCTGAAGCCGTTCAAGGCCTTTTCGGCATGAACTGGCACTTCTTCTTCCCGTTGTACTTCTTCTGGCGGCAGAAGTATTTTGCGGACTTTTGGTGATGGCGCACCATCCTCGGTAGGTACGGGAATGTTCCCCCTTGGCTGAGGTTGCGGCTTAAGGATCTCGAGGTTCGGTTCGGGTTCTTGCTTCGGCTGCTCTTTGGTCGCCTCCAGGTGTTCCCTGACCGCTGCTGGCTGCTCCTTGGACACCTCTGGTTGCTTCTCGGCCGCTTCCGGCTTCTCCTCCTCGGGCACAGCAAACTGAACGACTTTTGCCTTGGCAGCCTCAGCTTCTTCTGAATGATCCTCCTTCATCTCGTCTTCTGTAGTGTAGGTGTCAGTTACGTTACCGACTTCCATCGCTGAAAAAGTCCTGAATAATCAATAAATTGGTTGGAAAAGAGATGAGAATGCTCACCTAGTGGGCCCATACTGCTCATGCTGGTTCTATCGGGCGATGTTCGAATAGGTGTTGCATTGGCCATCGGTCGTGACGATGCCGGCTGTAAGCAGAAGTGCTTCGAGGCGCGACAGCTTCTCGTTCAGTGTGGCCAGGGTGCTATCACGACTCGTGCTCGATTTTCCTGGTAGTGCAGCATGAATCTCAGCGGCTCGCTGTGATAGCGCAGCGAACTGTGCGTCACGATCGGCAAGGTCCTGTCGCGTGGCCTGAAAGGACAAATGGGTGTCTCAACAGGACGAGAAACCTTCGAGGAAACGAATGTATTGCCTACCTTTGCTATAGCCGGATCGTTCAGATTCCTTGCGGCCAGTGCATCGACGACTTCTTCGGCAGCTTCACGATCTCTATCAACTGCTTCAGCCTGAGCCAGTAGTGGGTCGAGAATCACTTTTTGAGTTTCCAGTTCCGTTTCGAGCTAAAATCCCGACTTTATAGGAATCTTAATGTTAAGTGTGATGAATCTTTATAGAATTCAAAAATAGCTGTCGCGATTGGCAACAGGTCCCACGGGGACTTTTTCTTGCTGACAGCTATTCACCCTCAGCCCTCCCTCACTCACTCAAACGGCTTATGAATGCGTCAGCTAAATCCTTTACCACTCAGGACTTCGGTGACGCAAGACGTGAAAAATCTGATGACTCCATTTTGAGAGACTGGTCCTTCGATCAGAAAACCACTTTCAAACAAAACATAAAACAGCTGATTCTAATCGATTAATTCCCACAATGCGCCGTAAGATCTACTTTTATCCAAAAGCGTTGAGACATTTAAATGCTTAGCGCAGTTCGCCTTAATGGGGGCACCAAACGGTACAGTATTCAGCAAGGCTTGCCCAAATTACCTAGCGGGACTTGCAATTTCTACAACTGAAGGGATCACTTATACCATTCCGCAGCTTCCAAGGAGCTTACAGGTTTTTACCTAGTGCTTAACACGTACTAGCAAAAGGCCTAGCTGAAGTGCAAAATGCCCACTCCAGGCCAAACGCCCACTCCAAGCCGAACGCGCCGAATATTTTTTTCAAAAGCAAAAAGTACTAATGTAAAAGTTGCCGTTTCGACAATTCTAAACGTCGTCGGAATGAGCTATGCACCCAGCGGACAATCTGGACTGCAGACTCAACTGATTGTGTTTCTATATGACGTACCCGATGACTTGTGGACAACTGTCAACTGGTGTGAAAAAGAACAAAGTAATCTGGAGAAGAAAAGAGGCAAAATAAGCAGGAAGATAGGAGAGCACGAAAGGTTCATTTCAGAGAAACGAACCGGTGACTAGATACCGTTTCGACAACACTTTTAGGCACTGCGCTAGGTCGGAGTGTTGATTGACACTACATATATTCCTTATCCCTGAGACGGAGTGGGCGTGGCATTCAAGCATGGCATAGAACGGGTTACTCGTTGGCTATTTCAGGTTGAGACAAGTGTCATCTTGGTCAGTGTTGGACAGAGACATGACCACAACTGAGTCAAAATGAAAATATCTCACCAAAGGCACAGCCACCGCCACGTTTGGTTGAAGTACGCAGCACGCACCTCCCCC